CACAAAACATATGCCTGCCTTGGGGACAATGAATAACTTCTACACATATACTGGTTTCAGCCCCCCTTGTTTAGGAATCCCATATGCTTGCTCTTTTTATATGATGTTTTCATAAAGAAATTAGGATCCCAGCTAATGTAAAAGTAGGTTGTAAAAGGATTTCCCTTTTGGGCCAATAATCTCTCTCCTCCGAAAAACAAGAAAAAAAAGGATCAGAGTGCTGCCTCCCCCTTTTTTCTGTTGTTGGAAATGTTTGGATATGGCTGCACAAATGAATGGCAGTAAGGTTGTGGGCACCTCCGCTTTTCAAGCCTCCATCACTTACATAGCAAAGTTGTTTCCGGGGCCTAAGAACGCTCTGATGAAGGGAATGTCTACCATGTAGTTACACTCACAGATTGTACTTGAACTTGGTTTGACATTGCATTTGATTCCTAGAAAGGGAGGTACCTCCAAGTTTGACAGGTGTTAAAACAGAGCTATTATTTGTAGTAACCACCTATTATGGGAGGTCCTGGAACAAATGCTCTCTCTAAATTATCTTCTTTGGCTCTCAGACAGTCCTATTAGTAGGTATTATTATTTTTTGTTTGTTTTTGTTTTTTCTCTTTAGACAAGAGTCTCACTCTGTCGCCAGGCTGGAGTGCAGTGGCATGATCTCGGCCCACTGCAACCTCTGCCTCCTGGGTTAAAGCGATTCTCCTGCCTCAGCCTCCCAAGCTGCTGGGACTACAGGCATGCGCCACCACGCCCAGCTAATTTTTTTGTATTTTTAGTAGAGACGGGTTTTCACCATGCTGGTCAGGATGGTCTCGATCTCTTGACTTTGTGATCTGCCTGCCTTGGCTGCCCAAAGTGCTGGGATTATAGGCATGAATCACCACGCCCGGCCAATAGGTACTATTGTTAATCCTATTTTTATATGTGGAAGTTGAGGCTTAGGGGATATAGAGATATCAGGGTTTTCTTTTTCTTTCCCCTGTGCAAGATTCTTTCCCCTCATTTTCTTTGAGTAGCATATCTTTTAAGTGGAAGTCTTCTCCCCCACTTTCGGTAACTCTGGTATAATTTTAATAATCATAATATCCTGCCCTGCTGAATGTGAACAAATAACCTAGGATCAGGTACTCTCCTAATGGTAATCCTGATTAGGGTTCTTATCACAGATTTTACATCCGGATGTTCGGAGGGAAGCTTTCTTTTTCTTCTACAGTCATTACATGGGAAGATGGAAGTCTGAACCACAATCTTCTTTCCCTCTACATTTTGAGGAAATTCTGCCCATAATAGAAGAGAAAGAGACAAACACATGGAGAAAATCGAAGTCAACAAATGAATAAAAAATGCTGGTATTCTTTTGAGTCTCTGAGGCTAGATTCACTTCTAGAGTGAGAAATACATAGCCCATTTTTGCTTACTTGCCTAACTTAGAGTTTTGTTATTTGCAATTGAGAAAGTTAATTCTCTTGCCCCCAGTTATGCGATTAGGGAGGGCGCAATGCTGTTTTTAAATTCATACCCGTCTACCTCCAAAGCTTGTGCTCTACTCAATATTTTAGCTTATATGGCTATGAACCAGACATTTCAAGTTGGTCAAATATTAACGGAAAGAAAGGGTATAAAATGCTCATGATCACAACTGAGAGACCCACCATATATAGCCCCAAATAAGAAAACTCACATCCAAAGTGTGAGGAAGAACAAAAATGCATGTCTTTTCCAAGAGAAAAAAGCATTTCATTTCCCCCCAGAATAAATTGCTACAGATAGTAATGAGTTCTTAGGAGAGTAACCATTTCTTGTGACTTTGGGTATAAATATCTCATCTAATCTAAGTGATCTGATTCAGCACACTGAGACAACAAGTGCCAGTGATTTACAGGTATGACCAAGAGGTTGAAGATGAATCAGATTTAAGTGGCAATAGTAGAATTGGAAGATAATTAGATAGAATTGACCTCTGCTTCTGGGTTCAGGTTTCCTTAATGTCCTGTGGCTCGTGATCATTGCAAATCTCAACATATAACAGCTCAACCCCTGACCTCTTTCCCAATCCATGTATATATCACCAGTTGAGTGACCATCATTTATCATCACATAAAATTCAACATAAGTTTTCATGCATAGCATTTACATAAATACAACCACCATTGTAAATACAAGAAGAAAATTACATACAGTTTTCTGTACATCCACACAGACATCTATTGCCCATTTTTTTTTAAGTTCACTGAAAATCTTTGACCTTAACATTCAAATTATGAAAGGCCCAGTTGCTGACTGATATAATAAAAGTTGAAATTAATAACTAAAGTATATGTAAGAAAGACTTGGTGATTAAAGACCACCTTCTACATGGATCTCAGGTGAAACAGAAAGTATTGAAATAGCAGTTTCAGATTGGTTGAGAACAATAAAACCTTATAAATTGAAACTCATGATGCATGATTAAAACTTTTTTTCATGCAAATTCATGGATTTAAAATTCTCTACAACTAAAAAAGAAAGAATATAAACAACAAAACCTTTAGCTTAAGGAGTTAAAAAAAAGAAAGGCAAAACACACTTAGAAGGATGCAGGCTGGGTGTGGTTGCTCATGCCTGTAATTCCAGCATTTTGGGAGGCCAAGGCAGGAGGATCACTGGAGGCCAGGAGTTTGAGATCAACTTGGCCAGCATGACAAAAACCTGTCTCTACTAAACATATAAAAATTAGCTGTGCATGGTAGTGCATGCTTGTAATCCCAGCTACTGAGGTGGAGGCAGGAAAATCACTTGAACCCAGGAGACGGAGGTTGCAGTGAGCAGAGATCACGCCACTGCACTCTAGCCTGGCTGAAAGAGGAAAGTAATTGGTAAAAAAAAAAAAAAAAAAAAAAAAAAAAAGAGTTAATACACTAGAATGTATGTGTGTGTATTTTCAAGTAATAAATTGAAGGTTGATTTTCTTTAGGAAAAATTGCCAAATCAATAGCCTAAGAGGAGAATGACAGACAACTTATTTGCTTTGAGTGTAATGAATGGGATTTAATTATTTTTGTCTAATTACAAGAGCTAAATATGCTCAACAATGAAAATAAAATAAAATGTTTGTGTTGACCTTGGGTGCAACACAAATAAAACCCTTTCATAGTTTGACCCCCATTTTACTTGTGACATGCTTGTTTTAAGTCAATTTTTTAAATGTTTCTTCCACAGTATTATTGCCCCTTACCCCCTGCATTTACAGTCTCTCATCATCTAATATTGTTCATCTCAGAAATATCATTGACAAGTTATTTCTATTATTTTTCCGTACTGTCATGGGTTTTTTGGCCTTGACACTTCAAATTCGCAATTAACACCTTCATTCCTCGATAACTACAGACACTTCTGAGCCGGTGTAACTGGTACTGTGCAGTGCCCACTGTGGTATACTACCCATCAGGAGCTGTGGTCTTTGGGTCAAGGAATTCAGTCCCTGTTAACAATCTTGGCCAGGCAGGCTTAGGCATGGGCTAGTGGAATCTTGGTTTCATACCCACATCTCTTTGCTCCTATTCTCCAGTTTCCTGCTGATGTCTCCTATTGGCGGCAGCCAACTGGAAGCCAGAGGGCCAGGCAGCCAGGATAGGGCAGTCTTTTGGCCTATTCAGGTCAGTTGCTGCAGAGCTGGAAGAGCTGGGAGGGACCACTAGAAGGTGGAATGGAGAAGATCAAGCACTGCTAGCAGCTCTCTTGCCCTTCCTCCTTTCTTCCCGGAGGTAATATGGCCACCTTGAATTTTGCACTTTTCCTGAATTTGACATACTCCCTCTGAATTCTTGCCTTTGCAAATACAGCTTTCTCTGGCAGGAATTCCCTTACCCAACTTCTTTGCATGGCAAACTGCTACTTACTCTTTAAGATCCAACTCAATTATCAGCACTCTCTTATCTACACGCATGAGGAGGCAGGCAGCGAGGTACTATAAATAGAACAAAGAAACATGAGGTCAGGTTCTCAATCCCTCACTCACTAGTTAATGTGACTTTGTGTGGGGGTACTTCTGTGATTTTAAGTTTTCTCATTGGCAAAATAGGAATGGGAATACAGAAGGCCTTTGCTGTCCACTGGTTCCCACAAAGAATTCCACACACAGGGAATGAAAATATTCGGGGGAAAAAAACCCCACAATTGAAAATAACAATACAACAGTAAAAAATTATATGGATAAAAAGTGCAGTGTAACAATTATTTACACAGCATTTACATTGTATTAGGTATGGTAAGCAACCTGGAGACGATTTCAAGTATACAGGAGGATGTGTGTAGTTTAATATGCAAATACTGCACCATTTTGTAAGAGAGACTTAAGCATGGGTGGATTTGGGCATCTGCCGGGGTCCTGGAACCAGTTACCTAGAGATACCGAGGGCCCACTTTACCTGCCTTGACATCCCTTTCCCAGGAAAAGCGAAACGATCAGAGCGAGAAAATGCTCTCCAAAATGCAAATCATTTTACAAATGTACTTTTGTTGTTATTTTTCTTACCGTTGCTTAGAATTTTTTAAAAAAGGATTTGTTTAGCTCGATCACTGTGCGCGGTGCAAAAAAATAAACTTTGGTGGCATTCAGCAAATCCACCCTCCCCCGCCCCCGCCCCGCCTTTATTTCTCTTTTTGCAGCCCCGTTTCTCCCTTCTGCTCACTCATACCCGCCCACCCGGCTTTTGCAGCTTGCTTGTTCATATCTGAACTTGGCTATCCAAAGGCATTGCTTGACTTTGCAGGTACATTTCACAGTTAAACAGGGTGCGTCGTTTGGTGGTCGGGGATGGGGAGAACAGCCACAAAGCAGAAGTCTACATTCTAAATCGTGGCGTTCTGGGAGCTGAGAACCAGATTGGCAGGGCCGGGAACGAATCTGCTGCCGGGCGAGGAGGCGGGGCGCGTGGGCGGGGCTCCTACCGCGGCCTCCGCAGCCCGCGCTGAGCGCCCGAATTCCCGCGCTGAAAGCCGGAACGCCCGGCGTCAGGGCGTCGCAGCGGGCCCGGAGCTCGGTGCAGGGAGCACGGCCGAGCCAGGACTACAACTCCCGACGTGCGTGGCGGCCAACGCGAGTTCTATATCTTGCCTTTTGCTTTATTCTTCCCCCTTTTTGCGACGGAGACTGCAGTCCAGGAAGTGCGCAGTAGTGATTCTAGTGAGGCTGTAAGCTAACCTAGCGACGCCAGGGCTGTGAACGGCTCACGGAATGTCTGTTTCTCCTGCACGGCGCACACACTGCGGAACCCACCGTCCCACTGGCCGCGTTTCCGGAGGACATTAATTGTGGCCGGACGCAGTGGCGCGGCAGTTTAATTCTCCGGCGGCGGCAGGTTAAGGGGACGAGATGGTCCCGGCGGGACTCATCAGGAAACTCGGTAACTGTCAGCTTGCCCCTCGCCCAAGGCACCCTCCTGTCCTGGTCACTTCCTGAGAATGGTTGTGTCACGTTTCCGCGGCCGGTCATCCCGCGACTGCTCCCTCTTTCCCCCCGCTTTGCTAGGGTAGTCCCCGGGGACCCATCTCGGACTTTGTGTAAACTCCGCGGTTCCCGTCCCGAAGGCACCAGCGGCCTGCCTCTGAAAAAGCTGTTTTATTCCGTCTTCACGCCGCTCCTGCCCGCAACATAAGTAACGTAGTTTTAGAATAAAGCCTGGGTAGGCGTCTCTTTGCAGTCGGGACATTTTTCTGTGCTGTGCGTTGACAGGTCATCAGCTGGCCGAGATCAGGGAGCGCGCTCTGAAGAGTATTCTCTGCAAGATTGAGCACAACTTAATCTGCCACGCTGATCTCATTCAGGAGAGGCAACTTTTTCTTCATTTGCTGCAATGGTTCAATTTCCCGTCCGTTCCAATGAAGGAAGAGGTTCTCAATCTGTTAAGCAGATTGGTTAAGGTAGGATCATTTTGAAATAAAATAATCAGACGAGCGGACCGTTTCGTAGTCGTTTAATTGTAACACTCATCGAAAGTTAAATAACTGGGGTTAAAAGTTTATTTTTTAATTAATTAATTTATTTATTAACAATCAGAAAGGTTGAATTTTAATTCATCTGGGTATATATTGCTCATCTTTGATATGTGATATTGAATCCCACATGGTCTCTGCTGTGCTCAGAAGTAACACAGAACTTCTTTTGAGTTTTGTTATGTTCTGATTTTTGGAGTTGTCTTTGGAGGTTACTATTTGTAGTCTATATTTTATCTTCTGATATTTACATCTTAAAAATTAGATGTGTCAGTATGAAAGGGAGCACGTTTAAAAATGATGTTACATAACCATGATTCATAAATACCCATGTTAACTTGCTTTCCCATATGCTTTTAGATTTGTATTCTTATACTACCTCAACAGTAGGTAGTTGTCAGATATCAAAGTGTAAGTTCAACCTTTCAAAACTAAATCACTGTACAATGGTAGAGGAATCTTACTACTTTGACATCCTGTTGACTGATGTGGGTGGGACCAGAAGGTGAGCGTCAGTGGAAAAAAGTAGCTAATTTAAAAAATAAGAGTAGGGATTGATAGTGTGCATTTCTAGTGTGCATTGTGTTGGCTTATCTTTCATAAATGTTGTCAAGTGTTGTATATATGACTCTGTAGGTGTATGTGCTCCTTATGGAAGTGCCTTACTTTCGGGCAGAGCCATTAATTTTCTTTTCAAAAAAGGAACATCTGGTATACCAAAAATAATTTCTTGTTTTGATTACTGAAGGTTAAAGTTTAGGAATTTTGATATAGTAATTCTCAAGACCATTCTCTTTTTATTTTAGTATCCCCCAGCAGTCCAACATTTGGTTGATTTTGGTGCAGTAGAGTTCTTATCTCAGCTTCGATCTAATGTGGAGCCAAATCTGCAAGCTGAAATTGATGGCATTCTGGATGGACTTTTTATTCTTCCTTCGGAAGTTCCTGCACCATCTTCTGCCACATACCAAACCAATCAAATGGGTAACTCTTTGGAATTAATTTGATGGAATCTGTTAAAATATAAGTATGTTGATTCTAATGGTAAATTTTAAGGAAAGGGACATTAGATATTTTTTAAAAAATATTTCTCCCACCTTTCTCAAACTTATTTTTCTTGTGTTGACTTAAATGATTTTGACCTTTTCCCCTTCCTCTACTGTTAGTCAAAGGATGGTACATTTGCATTAATTGCTTTTTTGGTCAGGCCTAAAGGATGCCAGTGACTTTGCTTTTATGAGACCATTTTGACAGATTATTTCTTTGACGATAACAGCATATTTTTGAGCGTTCATCTGTGGCAGATGCAGGATTCTAATATTGCATTATCTGGCTCCCAAACCTGTGACCTCTAACAACATATTTTACAGTTTCTAAGACATCACAGATAAAGTAGAATCTTGCATTGTGAGTTTTAATCTGATTCCTTGCAGGTGAGAGTAGAGGAATGGTTTAGGGGGCTAATTGTTAGTTTTCTTTATTAGTCTGAGGAACTATTGGCATGAAAACATCAAACATAAAATTACAAATTATAGTTTTGGCCTTTTCCTCATTCTCATTGGAGCTGAACTGCTGAACGTATAATCTTATGTTACAGGGATAAAGGTATTTGAAAGATAATGTTTGACTCCTTTGTTTTTGACAATTTTTTTTTAAAGATATGAATGAAAATGGAGGTGATTAGGAACTATATAATCGGAGTAAAGGGAGAGGGAGAAGGATTAGGAAGTATAGAGGAGTAGTCCTTAAATACTTTGTAGCAGATTTTTTAACAAATAACTGTGTTTGGCTAACAGTGAAAGTGAGAGTGGGAGAAAATGCCTCATTGGAAATTGACTCAATGTGCACATGTTTTCCTCTTTAGGAAGATAGATCATTCAGAGAAAAAAAGCTGGAGTTTTTTAAAAAAAGTTTTAAAAATGATTCCAATACTTGAGAGAGAACATTATTATTTGAAGAAAGGTTCACTTTTAGGAAATAAGGAATTGAGAATGCACTAATGTTTATTTTCTTTTCAGAATTATCAAAAAACCCTGAAATCTTAACAGGATATTTTCCCCAAGATAAAAGTAATTTCCAGCAGATGGAAGTGCCGCCACGACCAGTGGGTGTGTATATGTAGGGAAGTAAATCCTGTTGACCTGGTCAATTGAAAATTAATGGACTTTTCTTCATTATGGTGAAGATGTATTTTTACCAAACTTAAATGTTTCAGCACCAAACTACTGTCAAGTGTTTTAGTTGTTTCAAGTTAGTTTAGGATATCGAGTCTAAATGATAAAATTTTGTGTTATTCTAAACATATTTGAGCAACTCTGTAGATAGATGGTAGTAGTGGCAGTAGTACTTTGTGCTTGCTAAACGTGAATTATTATTATTATTTTTTGAGACAGAGTCTCGCTCTTGTTGCCCAGGCTGGAGTGCAGTGGCAGGATCTCGGCTCACCACAACCTCTGCCTCCCGGGTTCGAGTGATTCTTCTGCTTCAGCCTCCAAGTAGCTGGGAATTATAGGCGCCCGCCACCACACCTGGCTAATTTTTTATATTTATAGTAGAGATGGGGTTTCACTATGTTGGTCAGGCTAGTCTCGAACTCCTGACTTCAGGCAATCCACTCGCCTCGGCCTCCCAAAGTGCTGAGATTACAGGCGTGAACCACCGTGCCCAGCCTAGACATGAATTATTTGCGGTATTGTGCCATGCACTTCACATATGTCATCTCATTTGTTCTCCAGCTTACTGATGGTACCATCTATCCAGTGACTCCTGCCAGAGACTGAAGGTCATCTTAGTTTCTTCCTTTCCCATTTCCTCACACCAGTTAATTACAATATTCGAATTTAGAACCCTTTTTCTGGAATCTGGAATCTCCTGTCCATCCATCTGGCTATGTTCAGTCTTAGCTCACATGCCACCTCATCAGAGACCTTCCTGATGATTCTAGCCAATGATCACTTCTTATGTGTAGTTTTCTTCCTAACACATTATTAGTTTTTGTTTGTCTCCCTTGCTGGAAGTTTGATAATAGCTGTGAACATTGCTTTATTTTCAGTGTCTGGAACAATGCCAGATTGTATTAGGCACTCGGTATATATCCTTGCAGGAATGAATGAATCCTCCTGAGTCTGTCTGAGATGGGTATGATTAGTGACCCCATTTTACTGGTAAAGACGCTGATACTAGAAAGGTTGAAAACTTTGTCCTTGAAGAGGCAGTTAGGAAACAGTTAAGTAATCACATACTTACCATTTTCCTGCCTGCATAGTTAAGATGAAAAGGATGTGTCTGAGATTATACCTGCTGACATCACATGTTCAAATAAACTCCATTTGGAAGTCTCTGTTATTAAAAAGCTTTCATGGAAACTCATAGGTGGAATAACTTCATAAGGAAGAATGGAAAACTTGTTAAGCCATTAGAATACTTTACCTTTTCATTCTTGAAAAGTTTTGTCAGGCTTGTAGCAAGCTTTGTTTTTGAGGCCAGACGGCTAAGAGGCTTAATTCCATCAAGATGAGGGACATCTGAAGGGAGGAGGAGTCTCTAGGGTTGGTAAAGGATGGGTATCTGAATGAAGCCAATGAAAACATTAAGGGGGATTGAGATTGTTACACTTTTATGTGAGTTGCAGTTTGTCTTGATTGATGGTCTGGCTTATTTTGGACACATTTTTACTGTGTGGTGTAAGCCTGTCCTTCCCTCCACCCACCTCTCCTTATTTCCTTAGAGAGTAAATCCTGCTTTTATGTTAGCACTTTTGAAAGAAGTAACTGTGCTATGTTTGGAAATTTAATAATACTGCTATCCACATTTAGCGATTCCATGCTCTTTTCAAAGCATTTGGCAGAAAGACTGCCGTTTGGAAGGACTTATGTAGATGCTATTTCTCAGTGTTGCCACCTTAACTTGTACTATATAAGATCTGTTAAAAATAACTTGCATGGAAATAGTTTAAAACTGTGTTGCTTTCTTGGAGTTCTTTTAATCTTGTTTGAACACTGATATTTGTTTTTCAACCTTACGGTCTTCAAGTCATCTTCATGGAGATTTAAAACACTTGACACCATATAGGATATTTAAACATGACTAGACATAGTATATCATTATGTTTTATCATTTTTAATTTCTAAAAGTTGAAGTTTTCCCTAAATGTCAGTTCCTTTTATGTTGAATTTAAGCTTGATGTTCTGGTCAGCCTCAGGGTAAAATAGAAAATTTAATTGAAACTTTGTATGTCAGTCTGTATTGGATTGTGTTTAATGCTGTTCTTCGAATACTTATTTTAATATCATATAAATTCTGTTTCAATTACAAAAAGAGAACTCTCTAATTTATCCTGTGTTAGAACAAATTTTCAGCTGACCTTGTTTGGTGTATTTTAGGTTACTGTATGATATAGCCTTTATGTTCAGACTTGTTTTAAAGAGAAACCTTACCCTTAACGTTGTGAATCTGTCATCTCTTTATTCTTTGATACCTTAACATTTGCTATTCCATTGACAGTAAATCAGACCGTGAAGTGTTTGAAGTTTTCTGTATTTCCTTGGCTACCCCTGACCACCACAGATAGACATGTTCTCTCCTCTAATGAAAGGTACAGTGCTTGATGTATTTTTAGGTATTTTTGTTCACTTATAGTCATTGTTTGATAGTTATTACTGCATGTTTTTCCAGGAAAAGATACTAGTGGCTATGAAAGGTATTAATGGTCATATTTGAATGATTTTTGTTTTTTAAAAAGCAAGCCAGAAAAATTCCTATTTGCTTTTAATCAATTTCCACATCAAGTTTCTTTTTTCTTTTTCTTTTCTTCTTTTTTTTTTGAGTCAGAGTCTCACTCCATCACACGGGGTGGAGTTCAATAGCAGGCTGTTGGCTCACTGCAACCTCCACCTCCTGGGTTCAAGTGATTCTTGTACCTCAGCCTCCTGAATAGCTGGAATTACAGGCACGTGCCACCCTGCCCAGATCATTTTTGTATTTTTAGTAGAGGTGCGGTTCCCCCATGTTGGCTAAGCTGGTCTCGAACTCTTGATCTCAGGTGATCTGCCTGCCTTGGCCTCCCAAACTGCTGAGATTATGTGAGCTGCTGCATCTGGCCCAAGTTTCTTTTTGTGGTTGGAATCTTGTATAGTCTTTGGTGACAGGAATTTTCTCTTATTGACCAGATTCTCTTACTGGCCACTGCTTATGCCTTTGATTAATAAAAAAGGAAAATTAAACATAAATGTAGGCTTTTTGGCAGAATACATTTCAAAATATGGGCTTCATTAGGAGACGAATTATACCATGTAGAGATGGTTGGGTGCCACTGATCCAGTCTTACGCTGTGTAATGACTGTTAATTGATTGCCATCTACAAGAGTAAATAGCTGATATATGGAAATTTGGAGAGTGTTTTAATGTACAGATTCACTTTGCACAGTTTCATGAATGCCATAATACACGAATTGTCTGCATTTTTGGGGGTATAAATCTGGACAATAAAGACCAATTTATTAGCGCTAGGGCCAGATTACAGTTGGATGCTATTAAATTATTTTTAATGATGACACTTCCAAGAGCATCAGTGAATTCTCTTGGAACAACATATTGAAGACGTTGAGTGCACACAGGAAAGAGTTAGGAGGTTGTCTAATCTCTCAGTTTTGAGTCAGTCCCTGAAGCAGAGATGGTGGTAATTTCTAATGCCTGCCTCTGCATGGTGAATGCTGGATAGTGTAATGGAACTGGGCTGAGAGAAGGAGTGTGCTTTTTTTGGGGTGGGGAGTGAACAACTGCCAATCCTAAGTGGGTGGAGTCAATAGGCGTCCTTTGTGTGGGAGAAGAGGGAGTCCTAATCGGATTCACCTTGAGTAGGGAAGATTAGTGAGGACTTTAATTCTTAGAATTTACCTCTGTACTAACTGTTTTTTCTGTCTCATTTCGTAATTTATTTGGTAGATTTTCTAGAATTCTGTGCTCTTTGACCTCATTGAACTCATTCTGTAGCCTTATGATAATCTCTGTGGGTACAGTGGTTAGTATGATGTAGTTCCTGCTCTTTAAGAGGGTCGGGGGGAATGCAAAATCGACAACCAGTTTAATATCATGAAATAATGGACAGTGGTTGAAGCACTACCCTAGAGTTGTTTATTGGTTAGGGAAAAGATCTAGGAAGGCTTTTCTGGAGAAATGATATCTCAGCTGAGACCTGAAGGTTTGTTAATGGAGTTGTTGTGTCAGTAGGCTACTTAGAATCTGGAACGGATGAACTCTTCTTAAAAATGATTAACACTATGTTTTATAGCTCTTTAAGAAGTAGTAACCACACTTTAATCTGGAACACCTGTGAACTATTGAAGGACGTTATCATGCAAGATTTTCCTGCTGAGATTTTTCTTCAAAGGCCAAAAATTGTTCAGGTCAGTGCCCTCTATAATTGCTTCTTGAGTATCTAGTTTGTTTAATGCACAGTGTTACATGCTGGGCAAATATAGTAGCAGTGAGTAACATAGATGGATTCTTTTATTTTTTCTAGTTTATTGCTTATATGGTAGAGGGAGAGGGATCCAGGGTGGAAGATTGTGGCGTCTCCACAGCAGCCAGTAATGCCTCAGCATTCTCGCTTCACACTCACAGGGCTGAAGTGGACTCGAGTGGGTGGCAACTGTTAATACATAGGCTCAAAGCTGGCAAATGATTGCAGAGGAAAGCTGTTAATTACCAAAATGTGGTCAAATGATTTAGATGCTTGAGATGAAAAGGGCTTGCTGTGATTTTTAAAACGTTCTCTGTAATGTAATGTCCTGAGTGGGGGATAATTCCTGTCTTCTCTCAGAATGGTTACTCGACTAACAGATTTTAGAACTGGGAAACACTGACTATTCTATTTAAATATTATGATGTCTTATTTTATTTTGACCCATCTTCTTGCCTTATGCCGAGTCATTTTTGCCCCCTTCTGTTTCTAATGTCTTACAAATATTTGGCAGCTTCTTTTACTTCTCTTGATTATTCACTTAAGCTTACTTACCTAAGCTCCACATTCTTTGAAGTTGAGCACTTTGTTCCCTTAATCATTTTCGCTGCTCTTCTTTATTTCAGAGCCTTTTATCTCTGTTGAAACTGGCCTTTGGAGGAGATGGAAAGCATCGCCTGGCATTACAGTCAGTGTCCTGCCTGCAGCAGCTGTGCATATATTTAAGAAACAGACTTAACTTTCACCGAGATCCAGGTTTTTTCTCCAATAAACAGGGTATTTATTTTTATCTGTGTAGTAGTCACTGGTGTTATTTGTAGATTCTTCTGGGAGCTTTCCATTATAGTTACTGTTAAGGTTTATTGTGTATGCATTTCACAATATAAACTCCCCATTCCTAAATGTATTCAAATGATTATCTTTACAGACTGCATGAATGACAGAAACCACCATGATCTCTTGAGCCTTTTTTTTTTTTTTGGATAAGAGATATTTAGAAGGTGTTTTTCTTTTCTGCCAGACTTGCAGAGATTCTATATGAACAGTGTTGGGATGTAGTGACTAGGATTCTGGGTGTGGCTATTCATGTAGGACTCTGGGCATTTGAGCAAGTTACATATAGTGTTAATAAATTGTTTTGTTTGAAAAATATTGATCTGAATTTTATGAAAAGTATTTTTATGCAACGTGGGAGATAGTCAGTGTTATAGCTATGCCAGACTTTTCAGAGAAAAAGCGCCACCTAATGCCCAAATCGAGTACCAGACCTGCTTTGACAAAACAGTATCTACAATTTAGGACTTTTGTGTGCTTATAGAATATACATTGAAAGTCAAATGTTATAGTCATTTGTCATGTTTCCTAGTTTATCCCTATTTCATTGGGGTTTTCACGGATCCTGTGCTACTTGAATATTTATGTTTTACCTTGGTTTTATTCTAGGTATTAGAGGGCATGGGATTATGCAAACGACTGATAATAGAGAGCTTCTGGGTACCCCATACCTCAACAGAAAAAGAGTTATAATGTTGATTAAAAATCACTGATATCTCTAAAGAATTATTAATGTAATTAATAATACTTATTTATTGCCTGTTTTATGCCCCTGATATTCTAGTCTCTAGGGAAGTATAACACTGAACAAATGAGTAAGATCCAAGCCCTTTATGAGCTTATATGTTAAACAAAAAATCAAGTTTGCTTGAGATAAGGAGAAGTACTTGAAGGAAATAAAAAGGGTGATATGACAGAACATGATTGGGTAAACATAGTTTCATTTAGGATAGCCAGGGAAAGCCTCTCAGAGGAGGTGACCTGAAGGGAGACAAGGAACTGTCCACTTGAAGAGATGCAAGAAGAGTGTTCCCAGGGGAGGTCAGGCTTCAAGGTAGCACTGAGGGTGATGTCCTTGAGCAACTGAAATAAAGCCCAGGACACTGGAGTGCGGTGAGCGGGGCAGGAGAGGAGAAGGAGGTGAGATCAGAGAGGTAGTGAGGGGCCAGAGTACATTGGGGCTTGCAGATCTTTGTAAGGATTTTGTATTTTCTTTGAAGTGTAGTGAGAAGCTCTTAGTTTATTTATTTTTCCCCTCTCTCTGACTGTAAATGCTTTTATTACCTAATTCTTTTTTTAATTGGGGTAAAATATAATGTAAAATATGCCATTATAAACATTAAGTGTACAATATGTGGCATTAATTACATTTACATTTTTATGCAACCATCACCACTGTTTCTAAACCTCTTCATTATCTTAAACAGAAACTCTAATCACTAAGCAGTGATTCCTCATTTTCTCTTTCCCCAAAGCTCCTGGTAACGTCTAATTTACTTTCTGTCTCTGATTTTTGTCTTTTCTAGGTACCTCATCTAAGTGGAATCATACAGTATTTGTCCTTTTGTGTCTGGTTTATTTGTAATGTTTTCAAGCTTCATCCCCATTGTAGCATGTATCAGAACTTTATTCCTTTTTATGACTGAATGATATTCGATTGCATGTATAAGCCCACATTTTATTTATCTATGCATTTGTTGATGGACCTGTGGGTTGTATCCACATTTAGTTGTTGTGAATAATGCTTCAGTGAAGATTGGCATGCAGGTATCTGTTCAGTGCCTGGTTTCAGTTCTTTTGGGTAATACCTAGGAGTGAAATTACTGCGTCATATGGAAACTCTATTTTTAGCTTTTTGAAGAATCGCCAAACTATTTTACACGGCAGCTGTACCATTTACATTTCCATCAGCAATATTGGAAGTTTCTAGTTTTTCCACATCATCACTAATCTGTTCATTTTTTTTTCTTTTTTAAAAATAATCATAGTCATCCTAGTAGCTGTGAAGTAGTATCTCATTATGGTTTTGATTTGCATTTCTCTAAAGACCTAATGATTAATGACCAATGAATCTCAGATGACTTCTCATGTGCTTATTGTTTGTTCATATATCTTCTTTGGAGAAATGTTTATTAAGGTTCTTGGCCCATTTAAAAAATTGGCCAAGAACTGTTTCCTTTATTATTGAGTTTTAGGTTACTTATATATTCTGAAAATTAAACCCTTATCAGGTATATGGTTTGCCAGTATTTTCTCCCACTCTGTAAGTTATCTTAACACCTTCTTGCAATGTTCCTTGATTTACTGAAGTTTTAAATTTTGGTGAAGTCCAGTTTATCTGTGTGTTCTTTGGTTGTTTGTGCTTTCGAGGTCATATTTAGCAAATTCATTGTCAAATTCAAGATTGTGAAGATTTACACCTTTTTTTTTTTTTTTTGCTAAGAGCTTTATGGCTTTAGCTTTTCTATTTAGGTTGTTGATCCATTTTGCATTAATTTATGACTACAGTATGAGGTAGCCATTCTTAGGGAGTTTGAAGCAGAGGAATGCATGATATTGTGTTTTTCTGCTTTGGTAGTCTTTGATGTTGTAAGTGAATACCATTAGCTAGAAGGTCCCATGCAATCAGGTCAGTTAGACGTAAACCTAAATGTGCTAAGTGAATAATTATAGAAAAGTTTGATCTTTGCTTTTATTTTTACCCCGTAGAAGGATTTCTACTATCTTAATTTTGTTAATGTTTTTGGAAGAATGATATATAAATACTACATAGTCAGAAGTTGCTTTCTACTAGAGATAATTTTATTCTTTTTTTTTCCCCAGACACAGTTTCCCAAAATTCTTCTTTATCTTACTGTCATGAAGCAAGAGGTACTCATCATTCCCAGAATCCTTCCCCCGGAAGCAGCAGCCCTCGGCCTTCAGTGGTTGGGCGCACAGGCCAGCGACCCAGAGGAGATGGCCAGGATTGGGATGCAGTGTCTTCGAGGTGACTGCTAGGAGTGTCTCTGGGGAAATTAGAAGTGCCAGTTAACTTGTGTGTGTTAATTTCAGAGGGAGATAATTATTTTTCTGTCCTTTTTTTTTTTTTTTTTTGAAACATTAACACAGATATAGGCCTTATGTTAAACCCTGGCTTCATACCTTTTTTTGACCATGATCCACAGTAAGGACAGATGAATATTACATTGCAACTCAGTGCTTAGTACATGAATATATACTCTGTTTATATATGTATATGCGTGTGTATGTGTCCCACAAAATAGTATTCTAATTCCGTATTAGAAACACCAAACTGTATTTTCTGTTCCTATTTCATTAAAAAAGAAATGATTCTGACCCGCAAAGTTGTTTTTACAAGCCACAAACAGAATATGATCTAGTTTAAAAGCATAGCTTTAAATGATAGATACATTTTTGATAGTATTTTAAACATATTTTTGTAAGTCTTATAAGAAATGCATAAGTTTACTGTTAAAAGGAATGGAGAATATTTTTATGAAATAAGGACTCCTTCAAGTTGTAGTTTGTGGAATTTTATTTGTTTGTGTAAATACAGTTTTTTTTTCCTTTTTTTTAGAGACAAGATCTCACTCTCTTGCCTAGGTTGGAGGGCAGAGGCATGATTATAGCCTTGACTTCTGGGCTCAAGTGATTCTCCCGCCTCAGCCTCCCAAGTATCTGGGATCACAGTTGTGCACTACCACACCTGGCTAAGCCTTTTTTTTTTTTTTTTTTTGAGACAGACTCTTGCTCTGTCACCAGGTGCCAGGTTGGAGTGCAGTGATGTGATCTCGGCTCACTGCAACCCCTGCTTCTCAGGTTCAAGCTATTCTCCTGCCTCAGCCTCCTGAGTGGCTGGGACTACAGGTGCGCACCATCATGCCCAGCTAATTTTTGTGTTTTTTAGTAGAGATGGGGTTTCACCATGTTGGCCAGGATGGTCTCGATCTCTTGACCTCATGATCTGCCTGCCTCGGTCTCCCAGAGTGCTGGGATTACAGACATGAGCCACTGTGCCCGGCCGGCTAAGCCTTTTATTTTTTGTAGAGATGGGGTCTCACTATGTTGCTCAGGCTGGTCTCGAACTCCTAGGCTCAAGTGATCTTTCCATCTTGGCCTTCCAAAGTGCGGAGATTACAGACATGAGTCACCATGCTTGGCCCCCAGTACCTGGCCCCCAGATTTTCATACACCAACTTTGCTTAAAAGGATTGGTGTGGTATTTGTATGTTACTTTATCCTTCAGCTGCAAACATGTTAAAAACATATTAGCCTCTTCTTTAGTGTCATTCTAAAGTGTTCAGTAAGATGAGGATTTGTTTGTTGGCTTGATTATTTCCTTGCAGTATTGTTACTGCTGTTACAAGCTAATACCAATTCATGCTTGCTGTGTGCATGGTGTTACGCCCTGTGCTTTGCATACTTTGTCTCCTTTATTTGTCCTAGAATAGGATTGGTATTATATGATAAGATTGCTATAACTATTATCATCCTCGTTTTACAGAAAAATCTGAGGTTTAGGTTTAGAGAGGTTAAGAGGATGACAGTTGATAAAGAGCAGAGCTAGGGTTAAATAATGTGATAGAGTCTGTGCTGTTAGTTCTTAATGATGTAGCTGGTTGACAGTCATGTTCTCTGTATCCGTATGAAGCCTTTCTGCCTCATTCTCTTGTGTGCTGCATGCTTATAAGTTTTCACTCCTGAGTGAACAGCTTCCTCACGTGGCCTTTCAGAATTACAGAGAAGCCTGAGTTGTTTCCATATTTTGGGGTGCTTGGTATCTTGAAATTGAAGAAATGACAATGTTCGTATATAATTTGGGCAGATTTAAATGTTCCATAGCATTAATATATCTCTTATGATTCAGCTTCAATTGTGGATCACCTCAAAAATAAAAAATTTTGAGGATCTTTGTAAATGTGAGGCTCTAGCTTTTCTACAGTTTTTAAATCCTTTCTCTACCACTTTACATCCAAGGTAAAAATTTTTTAATGAAGAAAGCCAAAGATGATGGGATGTTCCATTTTTGGGGGTGCATTTTTGAAGTTATCACACTGATGTTGAATGTAGTAAACTAACACGTTTCCCATGATGTTCTTCTGGAAAGATCCTTCATTTGCTAACACTGGCTTACTTAGAAGAGTTGGTGAAACTCAGAAAATCTAGGAAACTGTATGAACTATCGTTTTTGTCTTTACAAGTTGATTACAGAAGAGCTTTCCTATTAATCTGCTTGATTTCTTTTAGAAATGAGTGGGTTAGCAGTGCTAATATTGATTGCTACTATAGGAATGTTGACATGTTTTGAGATATCAGCCTGAAAAGCAAAGTATCCATGCATTTTTGGCTTCATTTGCAATTTTGAGTTCTCTCTCTTTTTTTTTTTTTTTTTTTGAGATGGAGTTTTGCTCTGTCACCCAGGCTGGAGTGCAGTGGTGTGATCTCAGCTCACTGCAATCTCCATCTCCAGGGCTCAGAAGATTCTCCTGCCTCAGCCTTCCGTATAGGTGGGATTACAGGCACGTGCCACCATGCCCAGCTAATTTTTTTTTTGTATTTTTAGTAGATATGCGGTTTCACTATGTTAGCCAGGCTGCTCTTGAACTCCTGACCTCAGATGATCTGCCTGCCTCGGCCTCCCAAAGTGCTGGGATTGCAGGCATGAGCCACCACGCCCGGCATTGAGTCATCTTTATGGAATTTAATTTCATATATTTGTCAAAGTTTCTACAAATCTGACCAGAGTTGTTGAATGAAGCAATAGAGTTGTGACTTGTATGAGGCTTCTAATATGCCAGGCAGCAAATACCCAGTAAATCTGTTTGGGGACTTGCTATATACAAGGTTTATCATTTGTTTATTTTGCAGTGGAAGTAGTAGTCACGCTCATATAAACTCTAGGATATCTGTTCATTCACCTTTGGATATGGGACACATAGATCTGCCAGAGCTGGAAACTGAAGACACATTGGAACTACAATTCCAGCAGCTCAGTCTTCCCCAGTTTTGTGTATCAATTCTGGAATCAGCTGTTCCTCTCTTAAGAACTGGTTGGTTATTTTTGAAATTATAATTCTGATATAGTTTGTATTTGTTTTATATTTCTAGGATTTTCCTTCTCTTCTATATTAGGGCCTTTGAAATCTATATTTACTTAACTTTTGAGATACATATTTCTAAAAACATAATAAGGTCTTTATGATTTTTAAATTAAATATGGATGCCATGGAAGGCTGTTCAGCTAGTCCTTCCAGTTTATGGGTTTTTATTGGCACAGGCCTTCACACGTGTTATTATTTTTAGAATTTTTATTTATCTATTTTTTGCATTCTTTCTGTCATCTTATTTTTTTCTTTTTTCTTTTTGGATTGTATGGCTATTTTAAATTTGAGCACTGACAACATAGAGAGACCAGAATGTTATAAAAGGTGGACTGGCATGAATAGACCAGAATAAAAAAACCTTTGGCCTTTGCCCTTTGGAAATTTTTGGAATAGCTGTCAGTTGTTCACTCTTTCCAATCAATCATTTCTGACTGCTTCAGCCACTTAACATGTTAAAAACAACTTCAAAGCTGAATTCTTACCTTTGTAGTAATTTTTCTTTAAAAACCGAGAAATATTTTGAGATTACATTTTTTGTTGAGATGTGCTAGGAAAATTTGAAGAGTTTACTGAAATATACACTGGTATTTAGTTGTAATTTTACTGAACAGTGGTAACAGCAATAGCAATATGGCGGATGCCTACTGAGTCTAGTAATAAAACAACAGTTACCATGTATTTAGTCCCTACTGTGTTCTACCATCATACACGGTTTTCTGTGCATTATTTTGTGCACTCCTCATTTCAACCCATTTTATCCTTCCAATAGTGGTGGTTACTAATTTTATCTCCATTTTTTACAAATGATGAAGCTGAGTTTTAGAGTGGTTTAGAAACTTGCCTGAAGTCAAACAGCTAAGAGCAGGGACTTGAACCACAATTCTTCTGAATCTGAAGTCCATGATCTAAATACTTTAGCATTTTGCAAGGTTAAGAAAGTTTTAGAAAGCAGTAATGATTTTTATTCTCAAAATCTGTACATTTTCAGCATTTGATAAACTTGTCAAGATATAAATATAAGCAAGTTTTGCCGTTTTAAGTTTATACTGGCAAAGTAAAAAAATACATTCCAAGTTAATTGTTCTTTAAGTCCTATGGCTATTTTTTGCTACCTGGAGTTGATGGGGGAGAAAGAAGTAGGAAGGTGTATATTTGGAAAACATTTAAAATGTTTTTATCCTGAGGAAAACTGTATACCCATACTTTTTACTCAGTGAGTAAGTGCTTCTAGTAGTTGGGACTGTATATTAATTCATATAATAATAATGTGAAATGAAGGAAAATCTGAACTTTGGCATCATACAGTACATATGTTTATCTGCCTGGTATGCTGAGAAGAACAGTTTTAGACTTTAATGATTCTGCATTTAACCTTTTCTTAATTTGCTTTAAAAAGTCAGATTGATAATTATAAAGCTATATATTGGGACATAAAAACTTCTAAATGTTCTTCTGCCCTTTTGTGGTAAATTATGGCATGATTTGTAACTGTTCAGTATCCAAGAAATTTCTAAGAGAATTTGCTCCAGCTGTTTTAGTGAAAAAATTAATCTAGATCCTTCCATTCTGGTAGTTTGTTTTACTTTGATTCATTAGAAGTTAACCTTTGGGATGTGGGGCGGGAGAGTGTTGTGTGAATGTTCATCTCACATAGGATAATGGAAGTGGAGTCTTTGTTATTCTGCCTGTGGAGAAACGAGGTTGCTCTGGTGGGTGTGACTTTGGGAAGTTTTTGGAGTGTAAGGTGAGTACAAATAGAGTTTCTTGAAGTTTCTTTAGCAAGTGCCAGCATGTTCATTTATTCCTTTAGTTGCTCCAGTCCAAGCTTAGCTTCCCAGGCAACTCCTGTGTGGGAAAATATTAATTTATGAGAAGGCTCAAGCCTTCTGGTACTAAGTAGAAATTGTTGGAATACGTTTTCTTAACTTTTCTGGTGCTTTGCTACATACTACATGTAACATAGATGGTCTCTGGATTTGAAAAATATTTTAATCTATCTCACAGTACTTGTTGTTAGATTATTGCTACTTTCAATATCTTTCCCAATTATAAATGTGTTTGATTTGTTATATAGCAAAGTAGTATTGTGACTGGAACAGAAGCCTTAAGTGTGATTGTTGATTGTGATTTCCCTACAGTTCTAAGAACATTAGAAAAAAAGAAAAAAATTTAGAGAATGACTAACTAGAAAATTGAGCAAAATGGTATTCAACTGATTATTTTAAAGTTAAGCAACTTTTTCTCCTTTACTTTTTTCTGTTTGTATTCCTAGGTAGCAGACAAATGATAATAAGAGTTCTGGAATTGCTTGCAGAGGATATGACCCTTATTGGTGAAGCAGTTTCAGCAGATATCTGGGATGACAGCAGCCTTTTTGGTATAGATATGGTGAGAATCAATATTTTCTCTGGGATATAGGGAACAGTATTTTTTAAAATTTTGGTTCTTTTAAGGTGGTTTTCATTGTCTCATTAGTGTTCAAAATCTTTTTTCTTTTTGACTCAGTATGTCCCAGACTTATTTTATAAATAGCCTGGAGCAGGCCTATTTTTCCAAAGATTCTGGCTACTTCTAATAGGGAAAGGTATATTAAGACCAGGACCAGGCCATTAGAGGTGCTTATAGCTACTGTGATATCATTCTTTCCTTTCACGAACAATTAGGAAATACATGTATTTAAAGATCGTGAATTTATGTTGCTGTTTTTCTCATTTTAAATTTCTTTTTCTTATCCTTGTACTTGCTTGTAGAAAGTCTTCATTCCTAGCAATGTCAGCATAATTGCCTATTAGCTTTGACCTTAAACATACGTAAAATAGTTTCAGAACAGCAATATTTACATTACTATGAACAACTCTAATAAAAAGTTCTAGATTTCCTGGCAGTTCTTTTTGACACTGACTAATCTCATTAAGGATATATACTCAAAATACTGTGCCTTAAAGCTACTGTTACCAATTCAGCACACAATTATATTTGTTTTCACTTTTGGGAACTGTTTTTCCTTCATAAAAATGTAGCTCAGAGATGCCTCCCTGCCATTCAGTTACCTTTAAGATGTTTTCCTTATTGGTAGTCATTTTTATTTTCTGGCTTATTTTTTCTATTGCTATTTTATTTTTGCAAATGTAAGCAACTGAGTATGTAGGTTCTTATCCTCTCCACATCCTGCATGAAAGGTAGTATGTTGTATACACTCTTTTGCACCCTATTTTTATTACTTAAAAATATGTCCTGCATGCACAGAATAGTAGGTATGGGGATTATTCCCTATCTATCTATACGTGAGATTATCTCATTCTTTTTTATACATAGCAAATGCTTCATTGTGTATTTGTTAACCCAGCCTCTTACTGGTGGATATTATTGTTAATTATGTACAATAAATAATGTGCTTATGCTATTTCATAAATGTACAGTTATGTCTCTAGGGTAGATTTATTTAAGTGGGCATGCTCTTTTTAAAAAGCTTTTATTTAGGTTCAGGGGCACATGTGCAGGTTTGTTATGTAGGTAAACTGTGTGTCATGGAGGTTTGGTGTACAGATTGTTTTGTCACCCAGGTAGTAAGCATAGTACCCGATAGGTAATTTTTCTGATCCTTTCCCTCCTCCCACTCTCTACCCTCGAGTAATCCCTGGTGTCTGTTGTTCCCCTCTTTGTGTCCATGTGTTCTCATTGTTTAGCTCCCACTTATAAGTGGGAATATGCAGTATTTGTTTTTCTGTTCCTGGATTAGTTTGCATAGGATAATGGCTTCCAGCTCCATCCATGTTGCCGCAAAGAACATGATCTCATGCATTTTTATGGCTGCATAGTATTCATTGGAGCATGTATACCACGCTTTCCTTAATCAGTCTGCCATTGATAGGCATTTAGGTTGATTCCATGTCTTTGATACTGTGAATAGTGCTGCAGTGAACATACACATGCGTGTGTCTTTATGGTAGAATGACCTCAAGTAATCCGCCCACCTCAGCCTCCCAAAGTGCTGGGATTACAGGCATGAGCCACCACACTGGGCCGAGCCATGCGGCCAGGGTATCAGTACAGCAATTCCTCACTCAGCATCGTAGATAGGTTTTTGGAAACTGTGACTTTAAACAAACAGACTTATAACACACCCAATTATTTTTTCTCATCAGCATTTAGTGAAATGGCATGGAACTTGTAATGCTGTTTCATTAAAGTCGGTTTCCAAGAACATGTTGACCATGTTAAGCGAAGGCTTACTGTAGTTTATTCATTTTATTCTGAGTGGTGTAACATTGTTTAGGCATACCACAATTTGTTTATCCATTCACCTGTTGGTGGACATTTGGATTGTTTCTAGTTATTACAAATAACATTCCTATGGACATTGAGTTGTTCAACATCTCCAGCATCTATTATGTTTAGTTTTTTTTTTTTTTTTTTTTTCCTGGTTGGGGAGAGGGCATTCTAATGTGTAATGGTATCTTACTAGGTTTTAATTTGTATTTCCTTAGTGACTGATGATATTAAGCATCTTTTGTAATTTTTAGTGAGGAAGTCTTGGTCTTTTTAAAACACTTATTCTTAAGTATTTTATTCTTTTCAATGCCACTGTTAATGAAAAATGTAAAAATGTTTTGGATTGTTCACTGTTAGTAAATAGAAATGCAATTGATTTTTGTGTATTGCTCTTCTATTCAGTGGCCTTGCTGAGCTTACTAGTTCTGATAAGTTTATTTTCTTCTTTTCTTTCTTTTTTTTTTTTTCCGGTAGATCCCTTAGGATTTTCTACCTATGAAATCATGTTATCTATGAATAAAAACAGTTTTAAGATCATCTTATCTGTGAATAAATACAGTTTTATTTCTTTCCACTCAATCTGGATACCCTTTAATTTTTTTAAATTGCTTAATTACCCTGGCATAGAACCTTTAGTATAATGTTGGATGGATGTGGTGAGAGCCTCCGTTGTGATCGTAGAGGGAAAGCATTCAATCCTTCACCATTAAATATAATATTAGCTCTACTACTTTTGTATTTTATAGATGCCTTTATAAAGTTGAGGAAATTTCCTATATTCTTAGTATATTGAAATTTGATCATGAATCATTATTATATTTTACCTGATCTCTTTTGTCTCTACTGAGATGATCATTTAGCTTTTTGAAGAGCAGAAATACTTAATTTGATGAGGTTTAGTTTCTTAGTTTTTCTTTTATGGATCATGCTTTTGATGTTTTATCTAAGAAATCTTTGCCTAACCTGGGATACAAAGAATGTTTCCTGTGTTTTCTTTTAGAAGCATTACATATGTTTTAGGTTTTAGATCTTTGATTAATTTTGAGTTGATTTTTGTATATAGTACAAGGTAAGGAATGAACTTTTTTTCTTATGGGTATACAATTATTTTCTCAGCACTATTTGTTCAAATGACTATCCTTTCTTTCCTGAATTTCTTACCAACTGACTGTATATGGGTTTACTTCTGGACTCTATTTGATCAGTTTTGTCTTATGATGCCAATACCCAACTGACTTAATTATTGTAGCTTATAGCAAGTCTTGAAGTCAGGTAGTATAAGTCCTTCAACTTTGTTCTTGTTTTTGGAAGTTGTTTTGGCTATTTTAGCCAAAATGAATGTATTTTCAACATCAATCGAATTTGTCAATTTATACAAAAAAAAAAAAAAAAAAAAAAAAGCCTGCTATGGTTTTGAATGGAATTGAGTTGAATTTGTAGATCAGTTCAGGAAAAATTGACATCTTAATAGTATTGAGTCGTCTAATCCATGAATACTGTATATACGTCTTCGCTTGTTGAGCTCTTTATTTATTTTTATTTTTATTTTTATTTTTTTTTGAGATAGAGTTCATTCTTTTGCCCAGACTGGAGTGCAATGGCATGATCTCAGCTCACTGCAATGTCTGCCTCCTGGGCTCAAGTGACTCTCACTGCAGCCTCGGCCTCTCAAGTAGCTGAGATTCCAGGCGTGTGTCACCATGCCTGGCTAATTTTTTGTATTTTTAGTAGAGATGGGGTTTCACCATGTTGGCTAGGGTGGTCTCAAAATCCTGACCTCAAGTGCCCAGGTTGGCCTTGCAAAGTGCTGGGACTACAGGCGTGAGCCACCGTGCCTGGCCTCATTTTTAGCTCTTTAATTTGTCTCTGCAATGTTTTGAAGTTGTCAGTATATAGGTCTTCTGCATCTGAGTATTTCAGCTTTGGGACTTGCCCACTGGCTGATTTTTCTCTTTATGGATCTTAGTATTTGATATGTGTAGTCATTTCTGATTGGATGCTGGACCTTTTCAATAGTACCATGTTGAGTGTATTGATTTTTTTTTTTTTTTTTTTTTTTTGGGGGACAGAGTTTCGCTCTTGTTACCCAGTCTGGGGTGCAATGGCGCGATCTCGGCTCACTGCAACCTCCGCCTCCTGGGTTCAGGCAATTCTCCTGACTCAGCCTCCTGAGTAGCTGGGATTACAGGCACACGCCACCATGCCCAGCTAATTTTTTGTATTTTTAGTAGAGACGGGGTTTCACCGTGTTGACCAGGATGGTCTCGATCTCTTGACCTTGTGATCCACCCGCCTCGGCCTCCCAAAGTGCTGGGATTACAGGCTTGAGCCACCGCGCCCGGCAAGTGTCTTGATTTTTTATTTTGCCCTTTTAGTAGCACTTTGAGAGGCCAACATGGGGGCATTGCTTGAAGCCAGAGTTTGAGATGAACCTAAGCAACAAAGCGAGACCTTATCTCTACAGAAAGTAGTAACATTAGCTGGGCATGGAAGTATATACCTGTAGTCCCAGCTGTTTGGAAAGCTGAGGCAGGAGGATCACTTGAACCCAGAAGTTTGAGACTGACAGGTGACTATGTTACTTGCAGAGAAGTTTGATTTTCTCAAGACTTAAAAAAATTTTCCTAGAATGGGTCTAAAATAGCAGTTTTCAACTAAGGGTAATTTTGCCCCCCAGAGGATGTTTAGCAATATCAGGAGCCATTTTTGATTGTCACACCTGGAGTGGAGCTACCGGCTTCTAGTGGGTAGCAGCCAGAACAGCTCTCCACAACAAATAATTTTTTGTCACAGGATGTCAGAAAACCTTGAGAAAGTGTTGAGGTTGAGAAACCCTGATCTAGAAGAACCTTTACTTGGGGTTAAACTGCTCCTGAAGTGTGACCCTTTGGGACTTCTATTGAATGTTCAAAGTCATTAGTGATGACTGCTTGCTCTGGCTGGTTGAAGCTTGAGTTTTGTTGTCTTGTGTGAGCTCTGGGAGTTGTTTAGTTTAAATCTCAGTGATCACTTTTGGCTTATAGAGTATCTTCCTATAATCTAAGCCACCTAATCTCAGCATGGACTAGATGAAAACTTGTTTAGGTTTCTGAATCTCTTTCTTTGCATAGCTCTCC